GTTTCTTTCTTCCATTTACTGAGGTAGAAATTATTACAAAGAATATTGTTTAAAAGTTTATAGTTGAATTCTGTAAGGTGTCTATCGGGTATGTCATTTAATTTACATTGACATATATTTTTCAATTCTGAGGATTCAACACTGAACTCTTTGCTTAAAACTGTTTGATAACATGGTTTACAAAATTTTCTGTTTACAAGGTATTCATAGAAAAAGCTACATCTTTGATCTAAGACATTAACATATCCTATGTAGAAAAGAAAATGGTTTCTGTATCGTATGTTAAAAAATCTACAATTTGAAAAATCATACTTAAGTAGTAAGGGTTTGAAAACAGAAGTAAGAATTTTAAATTCGCACAACCAGTTTGACTTTTTTTTTTTATACAATTCGAAAAATCTAACAATGATTTGAATTTAACATCATCGTTAAATAAATCTTTAACACGTAAAATGCCACTGGCTATCCAGATTTTTAAAAATAATGTATTACCTTTATAAACAAAGTTACAATTGCTCCATATCGGCTGTTGAAGAACATTATCGGAAGACATTTTGTTCAAAAAACAGGGCTTACATTCATTAAAGCAACATAACATTTGTTGATAAAAAATAGGAAGTTTCTCTATTTTTTGCATATTTCCTATCTTTCTATCGGAAAAACCTAACACATAAAGAGCATCAAAATTTGATTTTTTACAATAACCATCAAAAATATTGTACAAAATGTCTTTTTTAACAATCTAGGTACCCAAGCCGCTTTTAAAGCTTTTAATTTACATTCAATATCAACAATTGATAGTCCACCTTTTGAAATTCTACCTATAACACCCCTACTAATGTTATTGTGATTTAAATTCAAGACACGTGTTTTAGGTTTACCTATTTAAAGGTTATAGGGTAGAACCGGTTTTATAAATAAAATTGGCAGTAAACAGGAAATTGCTATAGTCTGTTTCTTCTGAAAACATGTCCTGTGAAAAATATGTTTCCAGACCATTCTGAAAGACTTTCATGATTTCCAACAGAAATGGGTGGCTAAAGGGGGGGGGGGGATAAAAATTAATACATCTTATCATAGTTTACTACAAAAATCACAGCTCAATAGCGACCGATACGCTAGTAAAAAAATGTGTAAAATTATCTACACTGACAAACCTATGTTTGCCTTATATGGCTTTTGCTATTAATGCGCACAGAGGATCTTACCACGAGCAACTGAGCAATTGTTGATTGAATACGTTTACGCCAAATACATATGTACATGTTTACATGTTACTTCGAACACGTGGTTCAGGTCAATCTATGATCATGTCAATGGAGTGCAAAATAAAAAAAAATGTTCTTATGAACAAAATGCAAACATTAGAAACTATGAAAGATATCACGGGGCTCATGGGCGTTTATAATTTGTTGTTAACTAGAGATAAATATGTTTTATAAAATGTATACGTAGTTAGTGTCAAGTTCAGAACACCAGCACTCCAAGGATAAGGAAAACGAGCACCCTTCTCGTATGCATTTAAATGGACAAAACATTTTTTACGTAACTATACTCGTTATCACGTGTGTTGGCCAGGGAATCTACTTACAATTGTATTCACCGTACAATAAAGAAATTTATCAAGCGTAAAATTCCTGTAGTATTCGTAGTAACCCAATTCTCATTCAGCTCATTTGTCAGTTAAAGTCACATTGGTGCCCCATTTGCTAATCTGACGCCAAAAAATATAGTCCCGGTTCCCATGCAAAATATTTGTCCAAAAAGAAATTTTAATTCATGACAGCAGAAAATTGTATCATAAAGAATACTTATAATTAAAACTTGAATGAATTCAAGAGAGATCTATTGAAGTACATTTCTACAGAATGATATTATAGGGTGGTGAAAACTAAAACGCAACATAACTTTTCTGTTTACCATGTCTCCACGTGCTAGTCACTTCCTAGCCACATTTCCGTGAATAATTTACCCTATCTCGCTGAAATCTCGCTAACTCTCGCCAGAGCTACTGTCAGAGCTACTCTGAACTCATCGGATTTTATAACTTGCAGAACACCGAAAAAGAAAAGGTTCCGAACACATTAGTAGGGGTGTATAAGCGTGTTTCGTTTAATTCTTTCATTTTTATCCCAATTAAAGCTTTAGACGTTGTATTTTTTTTGTGAAAGCAATATCAGGAAGACTAAGAATTGAAGCAACATATGTAAGTTTAGTTCCCCTAACAAAGTGCATTCTGTTTTCTTTATGTTTACTTTTGAACCCGCATGTTTACAAAATTCTTGTAATTTATCCAAAGTTCGCTTCATTGATATTTCGTCTTTTAAAGCTACAGTCAAATCATCTGCATGCTGGATGTTTTTAATTTCTTGATTATTGATCGTTATGCCTTTTATATCAGTATCACATTTTATCTTAATAGCTAAAATTTCTGCGACAAAGGGGTACAAGAGAGCAGAAATAGGGCATCCTTGCCTAATGCCTCTTGTCATTTCGCTGGTTTTAGAAAGCCAGCCGTTGTTTTTCATTTTAAACACTGGATTTGTATATATAATTTTTGCCCACTTTATATAAAGAAGAATCTATACTCTGAATAATGTCTAAAATACCTTTTTTGTATTTTTCATTATCGAGATAGGAAACATTAAGTTTCCAATATCCGGGACATTTTTTCGTTTTATCGATATCTAAACTAAATTTTAAGTATCTATCGTCACTCATTCGACTTCCGTTTGAATGGTAGCTGAATTTTTTCTAATCTTAATATCTGCTATGCTATAATAAAAAGAATCATTTATAAAAACAAAATCTATTCGACTTTTAGGGTCATTTTTGGCGTCACACCACGTGAAACCTGACATACCTGGATTTTGTTTTTTCCAAATATCATCCATGTTATAATGCCTTATAAAATCTTTCAAATAATTTACACTTTTATCAGCATTATCAAAATGGCCTAGCTGGCAGTTAAAATCTCCACATAGTATAATATTTTCGTTGACACAACTTTTTGAAATAAAAATCTTAAGGTCTTTAAAAAATTCACACCTCTTCTTAATTTCATTAGGTGCATATATATTTACTATTGTAAAAATATTACCGTCAACTTCAACATTTATCAAAAGTTTCCTACCATCAATAGACTTTTTGACATTTATTATGTTTGCATCTAATTTTTCACTCAAAAATACCGACACGCCTCTACTGAATGCAGAGTCGCTATACGCATGAAATGTTTTCCTCTCCAGTTAAAATTATACGTAGATTCATTTTTTTTCTAAGAAATGTGTTTCTTGCGACAAAATAATATCTATATTACATTTTTTAACCATGTATAAATTTTTCGTCTTTTTCAGGAGTATTTAAACCCCTTACATTAACTGAGATAAATTCTAATTTTTCCATAAGAAATAAACTTAAAATGCTTATATTTTTTATAAAGAGATATATACCGTAATCTTTCAATCCAGTTCGTTGATCAAGAATTAAAGTCCTGTGACATTCACGCATTACACAGGTTTTGCTTTATTTGTCCTTCTTAGCCGGGTCGTCTGAATCAGAGTCCGATGATTCATCAAAACCTGACATGGATTCAGAATCCGATTGATTCCTTAAAGCATGTAACATCTGTGCAATGTCCCTTTGTTTGGTGTTAACTTTCGGTTTGTGTTTTTGTTTCGGTTTGCTCCACTGATCACTTTTTTTTTTTACGTTTCCGTATTTTTTGCTGATTTTATTGATAATTTTCCCAAGCAGATTTTTCCCATACCAGGAATCCATTTTGGTGTTCTCCGTATCTTTTTTTTATCCAAACCTATGCCCCATCGCTGTGGGTTGATTCGGCGAAAATAATGTCTTTCTTTACCGATCTCAATTTTTCCCGAAACATTGGGACTTGTACGCATTTATTTTCAATTATTTCTGTCATAGCCGCTTCCCTCGTCTCGAACCATTGTTCGTTGGGTTTGACCTTGTCCCCAAACCTTTTCGCGGATAGGGCATCTTTGGCCTCCTGAACCAGTTTGGTTGACTCAGGATCACCAAATCTAACGGCCTTTGTGTATGGAAAGCATGTTCCGCTGATTTGTGCGATATCCCATTGATATTTATTTCACAGGGGAAATAATTAGAGAGGACGTTGTCTTCTCCATTAAAGGCAATTACGTTTTCTTGGACCTGCTAACACGTACACCTTTCATCCCCTGGCTGGTGCCCTTCCTGTTTGCACACTTTACAACGTGGGGGTTGTTACAGTATCTTCTGGTATGATCATTTAGTGCAAGTGAGTTTCCTCTGGGATTTAGGCTGACCGTAATGTAATATCTGACAGCGCAGGCCTGCACAGTAGTTGATCCTGGGTAGGTACTTTTCCTCGGGTAAAGGTTCTATGTACAAAAACCAATTACCGTTTAGTACACTCGTCATCCTATTTGTAACCGGATGACGAATTTTCTCACAGAGAATATTACTCTTAGGCTTATCCTTAGGAAAAGTTGCAATCTTGTTGTGTATTAATGAGAAATATTAAAACTTTTATCCAGAAAAAAATTTTTATTCAGAGTAGAAATGTTAGAAAGCAAAACTCTTTCACAAGTATCGTCATTCTGAACTAAGAGTTGCGTACGGAGTTTAGCAAATCGAGCACACTCGTGTTATGTACACAGTTTTTGTAAACAGGGCACAAGTTCTGTGATTGTTAATGTTTACAATTCGACGGGTGCGTTCAATCGTCACAGTCTGCTTACCACAACTGCAAGGACTGACAATATATTGTGTGTTTGTTTTGCTTTCGAACATATCTACTCTGTATTTTCTACCTTTTCCGACAACGTGGATAACTTTGATGTACGGTTAGAAAACTTATCAAGTAACCATTTAATTTTAACTTTGATTAACCAAGAGAAAATGGAAAGTAAAGAGATGTTGTGCCTATTGCAAAAGGCAAGAGAAAACCGAATCTGCGATATACTGGTGCACAGAATGCTCTGACAACCTTTGTGAAAAGTGTGTCAAGTTTCACGAGGTCAACAGATTAACTATGGAACACAAGGTGCGTAGTATTGAGGCCCAAAATCAGACTGATTCATTCAGTTCTGTCTTATTTTGTAAACAACACAGCAGTAGGAAACTGGAAGTTTACTGTTTTGGTCACGAGGAACCTTGTTGCCTGATGTACGCCACTGTATCACACAGAAAGTGTGAAAAGGTCAGCAGTTTGGACGAATGTTACTTAGGTTCTGATGAAAAAGTCCGAAGACTGAAAAGAGAATTTGGCAAACTTAAAAAAAGATGCAAATCAGAGGCAATCCGCGTAGAAGATGACAAGGAGAACTTCAAGAAAGAATCCGAAACCATAGAGACCAGAGTTAAAGGTTTGACTGAAGAAATAATACAAACCTTGAGAGACAAAGAAAAGGATCCCCTTAGTAGCCTGGCAAAAACTGAGAAAGAACAGACACTGGTATTACAGACAAAGCTTGAAGAGTTACAGACTGTTCAAGAGAAGCTGGAACGAAGTATTCAACTGCTTCAACTTTCTGAAAGATTCAGCAAGATTGCACTGTTTTGGGAGATCAAGAAGATGGAAAAAGATGTATCGAATATCGATTTACAAATCGAAAACCTAGTGAAAAGATACAAAACACCGGTTTTAGATTTGAATATCAATGAGTTCGGACATAATTTTCATTCATCATTAAATATATTTGGTGAAATTAAGCTTAAATTGAAGACAAATGGCGTTGACTATCGGTCTGCAAAACTTGTGCTGGAAAAGTCACTCGACGTTCAAGGAAGCTCTTGTCTAACGGATGTTGAGGTTATTAATGGTACTTATTTGGTAACAGCATGTCAGAATAGTAAGATGGTATATTTCTTGGATGCACGCAGCACATTGTTGGCATCAATTCCACTTCCTAGCACTCCCTGGGGTATTGCAGCTCTCCGAAAACATATATTTCAATTCTGTGTCGCAATGCGAAATCCCAATCTTGTTGGTATATACAAAGCAAATATTCCAGATCGTTGCACTACATGTTGCAAAGAATTACAATTGCCCGGCAATGCATGGGGTGTGTGTACAGTCGATGATAAAATCATTGTCTCCTCGGGGAAAGAGGAAAGTAAAAATACGAAACAAGTTTTTAGAGTTTATGACGAAGAAGGAAATAACTTTGAAGAACACCACATGCATGACGGTGCTACGGGATCTAACAGAATCCATCAATTTCGGGCAGATATTTGTTATATACTCTTCACGCTGACAATTCTGTTTACTCGAAATATATAAGTAGTACCGAAGCTTCGAATGATTTATATAAAATGTCAGAGATAAGTAAACCTGTAGGTATTACAGGTGATTCCGAGGAAAATTTGTACGTGGCATGTTATTGGTCTGATAACGTCATCCAATTAGATCCTCATGGGATATTTATGAGAAATGTTTTACAAGACGACTCAGCCGTGAGAAGGCCTTATGGCATTCGTGTGACATATTTTCATGATGATTTCAAACTGTTGTTGACATCTGGTGGAAAAATTCTGATCTATATCTTCAGTGAAATATGATTCAAATTAAACCTTACAAGTGTCTCTGTTCAAGCGACATGTGTGCTATCGATATTAGCCATTCTCATATTATTTGACTGATATGATATTGGATAAAATATGAAAAAAAATTGTTAAAGACCTTCATACATGTATGACTTTGGGACATGTTTCACATGGTCTGATACACCATTATAAACATTCACATTTCTGTATTGAAAATCAGTTTGTATTAATGAACAATATGTATTGCAACTAAAGACTGTGTGCTCTGCTGCATTACTGTAAAGAGAATATCCTACTCTCTCAAAGAGTATAAATGGTACTCCCGTCTTTATCCATAATTGTTGATTTTTAAATAAAAATATATATATTCCAGATTTAGGGAGCATATATATATATATATATATATATATATATATATATATATATATATATATATATATATATATATATATATATATGTGTATTTATGTATATAAAGGAATTTATGTGATCTAAATGCCTACAAAATTGCGTTTTCATTTTCATTTTCAAACACGTGTATAATTATTTTCAATTTAACAATCTATTTTATCGATATCAAGCGGGTTTTTTACCTGGTCACTCTACAGTGTTCCAACTTCTAGAAACTTATCATAGTATTGTACAAAGTATAGATGAAGGCAAATCGTGTTGTATGGTTTTTTGCGATCTATCAAAAGCATTCGACAGAGTATGGCACAAGGGTCTTCTTTTCAAATTACAAACGTATGGAATATCTGGTGATCTTTTACTGTGGTTTACAAGTTACTTAAGAAATAGATCACAAAAAGTTATGTATAAAGATCTGCTATCATCCAACCTCAATATATATGCAGGTGTGCCTCAAGGCTCAGTTCTAGGTCCTCTTTTATTTTTGATATATATTAATGATGTTGCTGAAAATATGCTTACAATGTGTAGATTATTTGCTGATGACAATTCACTGCAACATGCATCATATAATGTACTAGATATAGAATACAGGTTAAACCATGATCTTGATGTTCTAGATAAATGGTCGAGCAAATGGCTTTTAAGATTTAATCCAGCAAAAACAAAGGTTGTATTTTTTTCTTTGAAACATAAACCTGTTTTACCTAACTTGTATTTTCAAGGCAATGCACTGGAGTTTGTATCGGCGCATCGCCATTTGGGTATATTGTTGTCACAAAATCTGAGCTGGTCTGAATATATAGATAGTATTGTTAATAATGCTTATAGGAAATTGGGGTTATTAAAAAAATTGAAATTTTCAATCGGTAGGAAAAACCTTTCTCTATTGTATACAACATTTGTAAGACCTACACTTGAATATGCTTCAATTGTCTGGGATGGTTGCTCTTTATCTGATGTAGAAAAACTAGAAAAAGTACAATTAATGGCTGCTAGAATAGTTACTGGTCTTCCGATATTAGATTCAAGAGAATCACTCTATTTTGAAACAGGATGGGTACCTTTGAAAAATCGTCGTTACCAATCTAAAATGATTACAATGTTCAAAATTAATTATTGTGATGTACCGGAATATATACAAGATATAGTACCAAAGAAACGAGAACACACATCAAGATACAATACACGAAATAAAGATCAATTAACTATCCCAAGAGGCAGGTTAGAAATATTTAACAAATCATTTGTACCTGATGCTGTTAAAAAATGGAATTTATTGAATACAGATACAAGGGAAGCCATCTCAGTCAATTCTTTTCGTAAGATTATAAGTGATAATAATCCTAAAGCACCATCATATTTTTTGTTTGGTAAACGTATTACTAACATTATTCATACTAAATTAAGGCACAACTGTGTATTGAACCAAGACTTATTTAAACGTAATATTATTGATAATCCTAACTGCTCTTGTGGCAAACAGGAAGATGCTTATCATTTTTTCTTTGTTTGTAAAAAATACCTTAATGCTCGAAGTAATCTTTTTGACTATCTTTTTCGACTTGATGTAGACATCATAAATGTACACCTACTGCTTTGGGGCAACGAAAATCTTTCAATTGAAGTAAACATTGGCATTTTTGCCGCTGTTCACAAATTTATAAATGAATCTTGTAGATTTAACTAGATATATTATTGACTCTTTTTTGTACAAGTTTTTTTTCTACCTTTTGCATGACTATGTGTTTATGTTAAGGAGAAGAACTAGTAAGTTGTTAGAACTTGTTTCTTATCCTTTTGCTTGTCAATAAAATATGTTCAAAACAAAACAAAATTGCGTATTTTTATTAATCACTATTTTGTATGAATTAATGGGTCCCGAAGGGATTTTCCGGGTTTTATACTTAAGAGCCCTTTAGTTACGGCTATTAGCCTTATCCATATCAAAATAACTTTTGGCTCCGAAAATGTGGTTTACAAATTTTACCCACCTCCACCCCCTAAATCCTCCATACCTATAGTTATTGTAGAGAATACATGTACTAGTTTCTTTTGTATAAGGTTTCTATTGTTATTGTTGTAGAAAATATGCATGTATGTACTAGTTTTCTTTTGTATAAGGTGTGGGATATTTTTTGGGCCCCGCCTTCTGTTGCATTCTGAAAATGTAAAATATGTAATCTTATTTGGCATTTGTAATAAATGCTCTATACACACACACCCTCTTTATTATTTAACATGCTGCAGAACAGAGCTGCAAATGTGCTTCAGGTTCATATGAACCGAATTGTTCATCAGTTTCAGTATTTAAGAGCACATAATGATATATATTGTATAATACATGTAATATTGATATCGAGAGGAGGTTTGTGTCAATCTGGTCTATATGAATGTTGAGGACTGTGACTGGGAGAGCGGTCCTGATTAATTAGGACGAATTTGTCAATTTTTAACCATTCCAGGGCCAGATAATCATCTAAATCAATAATTGGCACGGTGTCGCATAATATTTGGTCCACCTCTTCTAAATGTCCGGCCGGACCTTATACGATAGCATATTAGGTCCGCCTTTTATAAGAAAAGGTCCGGCACGTATAAGAACCCCCCTCCCTCTACGTTTTTAGGTCCAGGTGGTGCCAGTGGCGGATTTAAGGGGGGGGCACCCGGCGCCCCCCCCCCGAAAATTGTAAAAGTTAGCGTAAATCAAATATATCTACTTGGTAGACCTCATTTTGACCCTACAAAATCTCTAAAATCCAGGAGCTTCCGGGGGCTTCGCCCCCTGGGACCCCCACCAGGGCTTTGCCCTGGACCCACTGGGGGCTTCAAGGCGGCCTCCAGACCCCTTGTCTAATTTTGGCGCCCCCTCTAACTCCAAATCCTGGATCCGCGCCTGGGTGCAAAATGATTTAATCTTGACTTTAACATATGCATATGAAATTAAAGCGAGTTAGTTTATACTTTCTGATAAGAAGAATTTACCCTGTTGTGTTTTATCTTTTGTACAACATACATGTATCTCTAGACAAGAATCTACCCGTTTAGTGTGCTTTAAGCAGTGCCGTTTAGGATCATGATTTCTTAAAAAATAATTTCACAATTATTGTGCAAGAGTTTGTTTTCCCCTAGAATTTGCTTTGTGTAAATTAGTACGATTAAAGGTGTGAAATCTGTTGGAGTATATAGCTAATAAGACAATGGGGGTGTGACATATTTGCTTACCTAACAGTTACCCACAGGTAGAGCCCGCGGCAGATGGTGCTCTTATTGAACTGTCGGTGAACCTAATGGTCAAGTTTTAGCTTTACATATCAATAGATCTGATTTTTTAAAATTAATGAATTATGCTAAGGAACAAAATATTCATTTATAATAATTATAATCATATAGTCCTTATTTGAATATTTAAAGCTAAATGCACGTATGGCTTCTCTGCTTCAATGGCCCCGGCGTCACCAACAGACTCTAGTTCCTCGGGTTATTTAGCAGTTGGTCCAGTATATTTCCAAAAGTTCAAAAAGCCAAGGATGTTGCCTTGTTCACACACTTTTTGTCACAATTGTCTGGACGGACTCATTAAACCGTCCTGCAGTAGTGCGACCTCCCTGGGATTTACATGTCCTCTGTGTCGAGAGTTCATAGCAGCTCCAGGAGTAGTGGGCCTTCAAATAAATGAGCTGAACTTTTCCCGCTAAACCAATTTATTGAATATTTGATTGAAAAAGACTCAGAGCTGTCTACCACTCTTTGTGATACATGTGCTGAAGATGGAGAAGATGTGAAAGCAATTAACTTGTGTAAAAACTGCAGGCGTTCTTTCTGTGAAAACTGTACAAAAATACACAAAAAGTTTCTCGCTTTATACAACCATAACACAATGTCTCTCTGTGAGATTTCAAGTGCCACTATTGATAGAAGATATTTTGAAGTTTTGCAGAAATCATGAACAGAATAAACTGGAACTCTATTAACTCTATTGCAGGGAACACCAAGTACCGTCTTGTGCCTTATGCGTTCCCACGTTACATAGAACATGTTATCACATAGGCACCATACAAGAAGAAGTTATAAACTCGGAAAAAACAAATATTCTTGCAAAGGGTCTTGTTAAAGAAATGAAGGCCTTTTGTGATTCCGTTGAAGAACTAATTGAGGAGGAAAAGACAAATATTACAGGAATTAATGAAAAAACTGACCAGTATATTGATATGGTCAAGAGTGCGTGCGAGAGGTTAGTGCAGCAGTTTAAAAAATGGAAGAAAAGCAGTTGAATGAAATAGTCCAACTCTCAAAAGATAGCAAGGCTAAGCTAGAGACTTCCATCTGGGATCACGAAAATCGGAGAGGATATGTTCAAAACTGTCTGAAGCTGATGACTGAAACTTTAGAGATTGGGGATAATGCCGATCTCTTACTCCAGTATTATGTAATGAAGGAGAAACTTAGAGAAATAAGAAAAAATGAGCTTCAAACTGTGAAGATAGATTTTAAGGCGATTTCTATAGATGAAACTGTCAATTTAAAAGGGTTTTTAAACCTAAAAATGGTTGAAAAAAGCATCAACATTCTAGAAACTATTGATGTGGCTCGATCTAAATCACATGTTATTAATCACTTCACAGTATTGGATTCAGATATCAGAGGTGGTGCTTTTTTATCCGATGGTCGCTTACTGCTGATTGATTTTAACTACAGTCGCTGCCTCATATAGACGAATAAGGGTGAAATGGATTTAGAAGTCAAGTTTTCAGGTGGAGCTTGGGACGTATATGTTGATTCTAATCTTCTTTTTATCACATTTTCTACTGCCGAGGAGATCAAAATGGTAAAACAAGAAGATTTATCTGAAATAAAGTCTTTCCAGGTAAACTGCTCATGTAGAGGAATAACAAAAGTGGAGGATAAAGTGATAATGGCGGGAAGAACGGTAATCGAGACCTGTAATGGAGATTTTGAACATCTTGGTCAAGATGAAGTAGACCCAGGTACTGATGATGTCGCTGCAGATTCAGATGGAAACATAATTTATTCATCTTATGACACAGATGCAGTTAACAAGAAAAGAACCATTTCTTATACGTATACACACTGTTCATTATGTTCGCCGTATGGTTTGGCTGTCGATCACATGGGGAACGCCTACGTGTGTGGAAAAGACAGCAACAACATTCATGTTGTATCGTCAGATGGAAAAACCTTGAAGATTTTAGATGGATTCACTAAACCTCAGTGTGTAAAAATTCAAAACAACAGTGTCAAGTTTTTTGTTGTGAAAGAAAAGTCAAAAGTGAAGATTTGTGAATTGAGAGAAGGTTAAGAAAATCTTATATTAAAATATTTTGAATTCTCTTGCATCATTTAAAAAATAATGTGAAATATGCAATTTGAATAGTTTGCAACTTCCGGGGTATCTTGGATAAACCTTTAATTAATAATGAAAATCTTTCAACTTACCTCACCTATGTCACTAAGGTGACCTTTTGCTCTCTGTTTTTGTTTGTCATTGTTCGTCAGCTGTAAACAGCGTTATCCAATTCTGGCATAAATCACCGATTAGAAAAAAAGGAAGAACAATTTTCAATTTCATGATCCCATCCCGAGAGGCCCAATGGGTGCTTTATCACAATTAGTGCTTTCAAAATCTTCTTTGTACTATTTTTCATCAAATATTCAAATTGTAGACATACCGGTAATAAAAATAAGTACTGAACACTCTAACTCTATCAAAATTGTAAAATTTAAATTTGTCCCTCATATAGGCGTGGCGCAGTAGTTAAAGCGTCTCTAGAGTTGTGGAGTATGGAGTTGATCCTGAGGTCGATTCCAACTGCGGGATGTACGTGGGATGATCGGTCCTTCGGATGAGACCAAACAAACTGAGGGCCCCTATGGCAGTATAGCTGTAAATTCAGTCCTCCATTGCCAATTGTTGTGGCGTCTCCATACGAGTGAAAAAGTCTCGAAAGGAACGTTATCAATAGAGCATCCATCCTTAAAAAAAAGCTGGATAAGGGCCTTGTCTTGGAAAAAGCGCTCTTGCCCAACATATCAATGCACTAATTCCTGAGACATAATCCAGTTTAACCGATGATTCATATGGCATACGCAATTCAGTGACTTTACAAATGACACGTGTTTAGACATATATCCTCATGGTCAGGACAATGTACTAGTCTTGTTATAATATCCCCTCGCAAAGGATTTGTAGAGGGCATAGAAACGCGTTTGTGTGTGTGTTTGTTACTCTTATGCGAAACAAAAGTGACATTATAAAAATTGCATCGGAAATGATGTCTAATGCGGCCTGGATTCATAGATAACTTTTAGTACAATTCTCTGTTATCCTTGAACTTTCAGTAAGGCGTTGCATTCTCGACGTTAAATAATTAGCATCTTAAATTTACACAACCTTTCATTCGCTGTTGAAGGATACATGGGATAGGAATTCGAGCAAAGGTTCACGAGTGTAGCAAGGATCCAATGATAATATTTTGTACGGTAACGAGGCGGGCCTTAAGTTGCCTCGTCGTTGTCAACAACAATTTAAAATTTCTGATGTTATTTATTTCTTAGATAATGACAATCTATGTCGCCATTGAGAGACGCTAATTACGCTAGCGTCAATAATACCACGCCTTACTGAAAGTCCAAGGGTGACAGAGAATTGTACTAGTGCACCCTCTCTACACAGTCCACACTAAGCTTAGGGTACAAAAAAGTTTCTTTTTCCTGCGACCACGACAGACACGTACAAATGTACTTCCTTTCGGTCTTTAAACCGTAAACACTGTAAGTACAATTTGATATGGAATAATTGTTATCTGTTTAGGAAAATATACTTTTTTAAAAATAAATTTTACCCCTTTAAATTTATTTTAAAATTACATATTTAAAGAAATATCTAGAGCATCTTGAAATCTAACCATAGATACCAATGTTTATTTACATGATACATATTAGAAGTGATTTATGGTGTTTTGCAATGAAAAGAAATTAAAATCTTGATTCACTATGCAATGTAAAATTATCGAAGTAAATAGAAGAAACTAAAGTACCTTATATGTATTGAAAAAGTATGCAATTTTTTCAAAAGCCTAGATACACTATGATTTTTATTTCGAAAATGTTTTATCAATTTTGAATTGGTAAATGCATAGTATAGGTGTTCTTTTCGCATTTTTTGAAAATTTATTTAAAATTTACTTTCCCCCATAAAACACGATTAACTTTAAAGATAAAATATTTGAAGAATTATCGTGAGTAAAAATACATTACTTTGAGTATCCAGAGACATTTTTGTGAATATTTTAAATATAAGACAACGTCAGTTTTCAGAACCAGAGGATCGGAAAGTATAAAGTACTAGCTAGTACGTATTAGACATCACTTATGATAATTATTTTAAAGGGAGCAAAAAATGTTTTAAAACGTTTTTGAAAAGAAACCTTAAAATCGATTCATTCAACATTGGCTTGACAAGATGCAGAGGAGCTAGAATGAATTTTTAAGAAGTGAAAACGTTCTACAGTGTAGGCCTATCTGAGTTTTTCTACATTCTTGCCAATCTTGGCCTCCGTACAAAATGTTAGTGGCATGGCTACCTGTGTACCGCCTACAAATGACTTGATAGTTTGTCCCATTTGTTTTGATGTTTTTCGGGATCCAAAATCGCTACCTCAATGCTTGCATACATTTTGTAAGTCTTGTATATGTTCATATGCATCGACAACTTTGAACAAGATCCTAGGAAAGACTAACTTTATTTGTCCCGTTTGCCGGAAGTGCTACGACAACGTAGATAACATTGATGCATGGTTAAAAAACTTACCAAAAAATCATTTAATTGTCACTTTGATAAACCAAGAAAAGATGGAAAATAAAGAGGTGTTGTGTGCTTATTGCAAAAGGCAAGAAAAAAACGAATCTGCGATATACTGGTGCACCGAGTGCTCTGATAACCTTTGTGAAAAATGTGCCAAGTTTCACGAGGTCAACAGACTTACTATGGAACACAAGGTGTGTAATATCGAGGCCAAAAATCAGACTGATTCTATCAGTTCTGTCTTATTTTGTAAGCAACACAGCAGTAGGAAACTGGAAGTTTACTGTTTTGATCACGAGGAACCTTGTTGTCTGATGTGCGCCACTGTATCACACAGAAAGTGTGAAAAGGTCAGCAGTCTGGATGAATGTTCCTTACATTCCCCTGAAAAGGTACAAAGACTGAGAACAGAGTTTGACGAACTTAGGAAAAGATGCGATTCAGAGGTAACCCGTGTAGAAGATGACAAGGAGAATTTCATGAAAGAATCCAAAACTATAGAAGCCAGAGTTAAAGGTTTGACTGAAGAAATAATACAAACCTTGAGAGACAAAGAAAAGGATCCCCTTAGTAGCCTGGCAAAAACTGAGAAAGAACAGACACTGGTATTACAGACAAAGCTTGAAGAGTTACAGACTGTTCAAGAGAAGCTGGAACGAAGTATTCAACTGCTTCAACTTTCTGAAAGATTCAGCAAGATTGCACTGTTTTGGGAGATCAAGAAGATGGAAAAAGATGTATCGAATATCGATTTACAAATCAAAAACCTAGTGAAAAGATACAAAACACCGGTTTTAGATTTGAATATCAATGAGTTCGGACATAATTTTCATTCATCATTAAATTTATTTGGTGAAATTAAGCTTAAATTGAAGACAAATGGCGTTGACTTTCGCTCTGCAAAACTTGTGTTGGAAAAGTCACTGAACGTTCAAGAAAGCTCTTGTCTAACGGATGTTGAGGTTATTAATGGTACTCATTTGGTAACGGTATGTCAGAATAGTAATATGGTATATTTTTTGAGTGGGAATGGAACGTTGTTGGCATCAAGTCCACTTCCTTACACACCTTGGGGTATAGCAGCTCTCCGAAAACATCAATTTCAATTCTGTGTCACAATGCAAAATTTCAATCTTGTTGGTATATACAAAGCAAATATTTCAGATCGTTGCATTATACCTTGCAAAGAATTACAACTGCCCCATAATGCATATGGTATTTGTACATTTAATGATAAAATTATTGTTTCCTTAGAGGAAAAACAAACTGAACAAGTATTTAGAGTTTATGATGAAGAAGGAAATTACATAAAAGCCCAACACTCGTATGATAATTCACTTTGTAACGGAATCCATGCGATTTCAGAGAGACGTTTACTATACACTGTTCATTGTGACAATTCTGTTTACTCACAAGACCTAAGTAGTACTGGAGCGTCTACGAAATTATATAAATCTTTTGAGATGGTAAAACCAATAGGTATTACAAGTGATTCCGAAGGAAATTTGTACGTTGCGTGTTTCGGATCTAATAACGTCTTTCAGTTGGATCCCCAAGGAAAATTTATTAGAAAGATCATACAAGACGACCCTGCCGTCCAACGTCCATATGGTGTCCGTGTGACTTTTTTTCATGATGGATTCAAACTGTTGTTGACATCTGGTGGAAAGATTCTGATCTATAACTTCAGTGAAATATGATTCAAGTTAAAACCTTGCAAGTTTCTCTTTTCGATCAATATTTACACATGTACGAGGGTTGTTCAATAAATAGTGCAACATGTCATCTAAAAGTAAGAAAAGTACGTAATACATATTCTTAATAGTTTCTATCCCTAAAGGTGTTCCCTGTTACCAGTTACATGTGTCTTAAGTCTTTGAATCTATGAACAGAAATCCTCAGCATACTTATCTTTAGGGATACCCCAAAGACACTGAGAAAGATCATTTCCCATGGCATATCTCACATTGTAAAATCTTCCTTTGATTGTTTTCATGTGTTTTGGGGACGAAAAGATCTCACAGTGGCTGCAATCAAGCTAATATGGGTGATTCTATATACTCTCTTTTCTTCAAAATCTTTTTTTTTTCTCTAAGAGTATATCCAGCTTCGTTGTTAAGCACAGGAAAAATACCATGAACACCGAATTTTGGACTTCCTTTGCAAAAAATCTGTTCAACTTTCCTTCATGCGATTTGAAGATAAAACTTACTATTGCTAGTCCTTCATTTGGTTGCATGTTCATGTTTTAATGGACCTCTTTAAATACATGAAAACTAATAAAACATGTTTGCAGCCATTACTTCTCTTTATCCTAATCCAATGACACCCTTTTCTTAGATTCCTCATTTTTTATCATTAATCATATTTTATGACTATAATAAGAGCACCAATGTTTCGTCATACATCAAGCAAGTTTATCAATTCTTCCATTTTGTTTAAAAATGTGTTTTAAGTAAACCGTATGCACATTTAACGAATGTTCTCTCTTGGACATTTGTGAGAAAATAGGGCACCCATCTAATTGAAATATTGTTGTATGTTGTTCCTTTGTCCGAGTTCTACAAAATGCTGTGACGATTGAATGTTAAGTATTATAACAATGTCATTCCATGTAAATATAGCATTTTCAAATTACATGTAGCACATAAAGTCGATATTTTATGATGTCCCCACAAATTTCAATTGACCATATTGACTGTTATATTTGAACCCTTGTTTTTTTTCTTCTGAATTATTGAATCCATCTGAAAAGTATACAGCCTTAAAGATTATTTTTTTCCACTTATAAAAATTTTATCTTAAATATGAGGTTTGCGGTAATTTGTGTAAAAAGCGCAGCTTTCAAATACGCACTTATTTTCATCTACTTGGTGGAGATCATTTATAAACAGTTTTCAGCTCAGTGTAGTGACCATGCTTACTTTAAAAATGAATTTCTTTGCGAAGACACTATGAAAATTCGTGGGGTTTTCTGTGTTTAGTAGATCTTAAATAGAACTTTTCAAATATGAAAAAAGAAAATCAATTGCCTCAACATTTATTATGATATACTGAGTATTGCATTACTTATTGAACTACCCTCGTACTATAGATAATAGCCCCACATATATATGTATTAGACTGATATGCTTTTGGATAAAACATTCTTAAAGACCTTCATATGACTTTGGGACATGTTTCATATGGTCTAATACGTCATTATTATAAAATATTTACATTTCTGTATTGAAAATCAGTTTGTATCATTGAGCAAATAATGAACAGCGTGTATAGTAATCTCAGCGAGATGTCGTGGGGACTAAAAATGGGACTACAACATTCTCGGATCATTCCCATTCAACGTGATTCGGGCTTTATTGTCCCGACTTCGACCGCTCGTTTCAATCAATTCGAGCAGAAATGAATTAGCTGCCCGGTTCAAGTTCTTCCGTTTGACATCCTTTTAAGTCTCTATCACTATAAAACGTTCCTTTCTTATCTTTAAAAGGTTTAAATCCAACAAAATATATAGTTGTTGATTTTGCATAGAAATGTCCCATTCTTTTAAACCTCCGATGCTGAAGAGTTCCGCAATAGTCTGCATCGAATATTTCGTTTTACTACTATTTTCTATAGGAATGAACGATAGTACGATGTATTCGAAGTAGACTATTGCGGAACTCTTCAGCACCGGAGGTTTAAAATAATGGGATATTTCTATGAAAATTCAACAACTTTATTTTGCTAGAATTAAACGTTTTACGCACAGTGAAGCAGGGGACAAAAAGAATGTTAATTCCAGATTTAGGGAGCACCTTATATAGGAAACACATTACATATTTAAACAGGGGGCTTGTGTCAGTATAGTATATGTTGAATATTGAGGACCGTGACTGTGAGTGGTCCAGATTATTAGGACGAAGTAGTCATTCTTTAACAATTCTAGGGCCAGAAAATCATCTAAATCAATTGGCCATACAAAAACAGATATCAGTTGCGTTTCTGGGATTCTTGAAAAGGTTATGGGGACGGTTTGAGGTCTAGTTTGGATACCAGTGAGTAAATCCCGGAAGCTCAACACAATTGATATCCACAACCGTGTTTAATTACTTTGATAACCACAGCCGAGTATTAGTGCTTTAATTAAATAAGACAAGCACGTGTTTATAGGGCAGAATAATCCCTATGCTTGTCTTAAGATATGTGTATTGATTCTAGCTCTGGTCCATTACATAAGGCTTTTGGAGTTTTTATTAAAAAAAGTTTCAACTTATTTTTATTTAGCTTTACTTTATGTAAACTAATGCAATGTCCCACGACGTAAAACCAATTCATTAGTATCATTTTTGGTCACAAAAGATGGGAGCCCCCCCCCCCCCACTTCCAAAAAAAAAAATCAGTACACATGTGATATACACATGTGATATATATACTTTATGTGAAACTAATGCAATGTCCCACGACGTAAAACCAATTCATTAATATCATTTTTGGTCACAAAAGATGTTTTAAAAGTTATGGTTAAGGTTTGTTTTTTAAAAGTAAGTCAAACTCCAAGGTCAAGATCCAAATTCTTGATATCAAGTGAAAGGTCTTGTCACAAGGATTAAATATGAAAAGTATGAAAGCACTAGTCCTAACCCTTCAAAAGTTATGGTTAAGGTTTGTTTTTTAAAACTAAGCCAAACTCCAAGGTCAAGGTTAAAGGTTCGAAGTTCTTGGTATTCAATGAAGCCCTTAAGGATCTTCTAACAAGGATTACATTTGTGAAGTAACTAGCCTTTAGCGTTCAAAAGTTATGGCCAAGGTTAAATTTTTTTTAAAAATAAGTCAAACTCCAAAGTCAAGGGGTCAAAGGTCTTTCAAATAAAAGGTCTTGTCACGAGGATTAAATATAAAAAGTATGAAACACAACCCCCCCCCCCCCCCCCGTTTCCGACGCCTATGTCTATTAAACATCAACTTCAGTGTAACTTAAAATTAATTTATGTTTAGTATTTAGAATACATGTGTATTGATCCCTGATATTAAGGTACAATGATACTCTGATAAGAGAGATAACTCTTAATGACACAAATGTCTATTATTCCTTTATAAATTTGTCAAGTTTAAGTGCCTTTTTGTCAAATTTTGCCCCGCAAGCCATGCTATAATTGTTTTTATTTTATTCAGCACATACATTTCCTTTGAAAAAGCATAAAAGTTAAAGAAAAATTTCATATGAGTGAGCAGAGGGTTTATGAACCTTTAAAGTCAATAGAGCTGAGATGACAGAACTTTATTGACTATCGCATTTATATTTACATGGTATTAAATATGTTCATTGGTCATGCCCATAGCAACGGTTTTCAAAGTGAGAGGGGATCAGCCTCTGCCAATGCTCGAACTAAGAGCAATAAAATAGGGGTCACCACCTAAAGGAAAATTTATTACATATTTACTATAGCAAAATATAATATACTCGGGAAAAGTAGAGGGAGTTGTCCCCATCCACGCGTTCTACGGGCCTGTTGCTTGATTTGGGAGTGTAAAAGGTCAAATGTTTGTGTTTGCGGACACACTGGTGACAGTTGTGGCGTTCCATAGAGAATGATATTTAAATATTTTAGACTGGGGAGTGTGTTGATGGTTTTACCAGTTTGTTACCAGGTGCACGTGCTTGGTGCCAAATACCCTGACTAACCCACTTCCTCCTACTAGGACAGTTAGGAGTAAGGAGAGATCAACTGAGTATCCCCTTCATAAACTTTGACCGCGACACCTTGAACCCCCCCCCCGGCCAATCTCTAAGGGATGATAGACAAGGACTTCATTTATTTGCATCTAATAAAAATCTGCAGTTCTATGCGGGGGGGGGGGGGGCAACATCCATTCGTTACATTCTGTGGTTTGATTTGCAACGTTATTAAAGGAGTAAATAATGATTTGGTCAAGGAAAATTATTCTGAATAGCAAATATTTTCACGTTACACTTTTAACTGACTCTACGAACTAAAAATACTAAGCGTATTTTCGTATACAGTAGAGGAAGACTGGTTTATTCTTCACTGAATACAAGTAATATCGTTGCTTTCTAACAAAAGTGTTTTTGTGATTGAATCAAGTCATTTTTAGTGTAAATTCGAAAATGATTTTCAGCACACCAATTCCATAGCGGTTGTGTGTACAACTTTCTTGGATAAACCATTAATTAATGATAAAATTCTTTCAACTTACCTAACCTATGTCACTAAGGTGACCTTTTGCTCTCTGTTTTTGTCTGTCATTGTTCGTCAGTTGTAAACAGCTTACCAATTCTGGCATAAAGCACCTATTGGAAAAAAAAGACCAATTTTCAATTTCATGGTCCTATCTCTAGAGGCCAAATGGGTTCTTAATCCATCACAAATACATGTAGTGCTT